AAGCTCTGGGAGAGGCTCTGGGGGTCTTGGGGGCTTCTGAAGTGCTCTCAGAACTGAGCAGCATAGAAGGCAATGCTCCCCTGCTCCAGGTGTTTTGTCTACAAGCAGCATGGGTGAATGAGAATCTTAGGACATTGTGTGATATTTGCAGGCTGGAGTTTGAAGCGCGCAACCAGAAGAAAGAAGCAAAAGAGCTGGCTGTGCTGGAGGCCATGAGGAGGCTGGAGGAGGAGAAGCACTAGTGGGGATGGGTGAGCCACAGAGTGCTGCAACTTCACCCTCTGGCAGAGCAACTGCTCTTCAGGAAAGGAGCCCTGAAGAGGGGCAGTGCTGCTGGCACGCAGGATGTGCTGTCCTACCCTCTGCTGTCCTAGCTCCTCCTGCACTAATTATGCAGACATAACGAGCTGGGATTCCGTTGCCTAGTTTTATCTCCGTTAATCAGTCCCTGTCCCTTTTCCCAGGAGGAGATTTGACAAAACAAAAAGGTTTTAATTATAACTAATGTTTTAACATGTTGATGTGCTTTTACCTTCTGCCATTTCTGGCTCTCAGTGGGAGGGCAGTGGAGGAGCTGCCCGTGCCCCTTGCCCTGCCCTGGCTGCCCTGAGCAGGCTCTGCCTTGCAGAGCAGCCCCTGGGCAGTGCTGTGGCTGCTGGACAGGTAGAGCAGCCTCGGGGACAAGACAGGGCTCCTGTGGTTCCTCCTGCAGGGGCTGGCTGCCAGAGGTGGTGCTGGGCTCTGGGTTCACTGTGCTGCCTCTTCTCAGCTCCTGCCCCTGTCCACAGCCAGAGCCACTTTGGGCTGAGCTGGATAAAGGAAGATCCTTTGCTGCCCCAGTGACAGGCTGCAGGTGGCAGCTGCTGAAGGGGCAGGTGCTGCTGGGTCCAGGCATTTCCCCACTCGAGGCACAGGGAGCCTGGGACCTTTTCCCAAAGCTCTCCCATCTGCAAGGCAGCAGGACCCGATGGACCATGCTCAGAGCCCACCTTGTGCCCAACGGGTTACCTGAGGGTGGGACCTGGCCAGGTTAAGGTTTGGGGTTGTTTTCTGATGGCTGACATGCAGCGTGCCTGCCCCTAAGGGGACGTGCAGGGCTGGGAGAATGGGTCCTGAGCTGTGAGCCCCTTTTCCCTCTTACATTCCAGGATACTGTGGTGAGTATCCTGAGCAGCTCACTGCACTGTGCCAGATGGTCCTTCCAGGCTGTGTCTGGTGTCCTCTCTCTTGTAAACTTTTGTTGCTGATCATTAATAAAATATTCAAGAGCTGGGCATTGGTCTTTTTGGGGCTGGAACCCAGGCAGCAGAAGGGGGGCATAGGGCACTGAGAGGGAGCACCACACTCACACTGCATCCCTGCAGCTCCATGGCAGCCACCACACACCTGCTGGCCCTTCCTGGGCTCTGGCTGGCACAGCAGGGCAGGTCCACATGTGCCAGAGCTGCAGCCAGGGGCACTGGGGGGAGAGGGGGGACTCCTTGGGCTCTCCTAATGAGCAGGGTAGCCACGTGGGCCAGGCAGGGCCTGGGCACCACCAGCATGGGGACTGCAGCCAGGCTGGCTGCTGTGTTCTGGATCACCTGTGGAGGAGGTGACAACCCTAGATACCTGTCCAGGGGTCTCTCTGCCAGGGACCCCACTGTCCTGTGTCTCCCCAGTCTGTGTCCTGCTGCAGAGCTGCCCCAGGGCTGGGCAGAGGCTGTGCCAGGTCCCCTGCTGCACAAGGGGGAGCAGGGCCTTTCTGTCTGGGGGCACACAGGGACAGTGTCACCTGCCCCTCTGCACAGCCCCTGACCCCTGCTGGCCCTGCACCGTGCCCTGCAGCTCCCACAGGCATTGGGCCATCCTCTAAGGGGTTTTGTTCTGCTGGGTACCTGAGCAGCCTCAGCACCACGGGAGGGAGTGGCGGGCTCAGCAGCCCAGAGCTGCCAGGTCTGGGTGGGCTCCCCCCTCCCTAGCAAGGACAGACACGCAGAGCCATCCCGAGCAGGTTTATTGTCACCCCAGAGCCACCAGCACCGCTCAGGCAGCTGCACACTCCGCGGGGGCCAGGGACAGAGCCAGACCTGCCTTACACGGGGGAGTCCTGGCAGCTCCACGGGGCGCCGGTCACACAGAGCACCTGCGGGAGGCACCATCACACCACAGCTGTGACACACAGCACTGCGGGAGGCACCGGTCACACCGTGTGACCGGCACAGGGGGAGCCCCAGCCCCCGCCGGTGGGGACCCTGCTCCGGCGCTCACGGCAGAGCACCGCGGGGCTGAGGGGCTCCGGAACCGGCGGTGCGGGCACGAGCCGTGCCCAGCGTCCCAGCCCGAGCCCCGGTGCTCACCGCGGGTAGAGCCCCACGGGGAGCGGGCCGGGCCGGGCAGCAGCGCAGCGACATCGGGTCCGGCAGAGCCGTCGGTGTCGAGCGGCACGGATCGGAGAGCAGCCCCGGGGCTCTGCCCACCGAGCATCGGTGGGCCCGGGCCGTCCGCAGGTACGGGGGCTCGGCGGGCGGCCCAGCGCGAGCAGCGTGCACGGTGCCGGGGAGTCGTAGCACCGGGGCCGGGGTCCCGCCTCGCCCGCCCCGCCGCCACTCGGTTTCCGGGGCGGCGGAGCCCGCGGGGCGCCCGGCGGAGCCACCGCCCGGCCCCGCTCCGAGCGCGGGACACCGACACGGACACGGACACGCGACTGGCGTCGCACATTTATTGAGCGGCCCGGGCCGGCCGGGGGCGGGCCACGGCCCATCCCCGTGCCCGGTGCCGCCGTCACTCGCGGAACTTCCACTCCTGGCGGCACATGGGGCAGTGCTGCTGCACCTGCTGCGAGTTCAGCCACTTGAGGATGCAGTGCATGTGGAAGCAGTGCGAGCACTGCCCCCACACCAACGGGCAGTCGTCGCCGGGCACCTTACCTGCGGCACGGACACACCGTCAGCCCCGCCCAGCGCGCAGTGCCCGGTGCCGGTGCCGGTCCCGTACTCACAGTCGGGGCAGCAGCCGTTGAAAGCCATCCGGCAGATGCCGCAGTTCTCGTCGTTCGCCACCCACAGCCAGGACGCGACTCCGTGCCAGCTCCGCACGCGGACCCGCATGTCCCGCTCCTCTCCCGGTCCCGGTCCCGCCGGAAGTGCCGCCCGCCCCACAGAGCTTCGCGCGCCCGCCGTGCCGCGCCTCTGCCCCGCCTCTTCCGCTTCCGGCGCGGGCGCAGCGCGGCCGGAAGTGCGGGTGGGAGCGGTGCCGCCATCATGGCCGACAAGATGGACATGTCCCTGGACGACATCATTAAGCTCAACCGGAGCCAGCGTGGGGCCAGCCGGGGCGGCCGGGGCGGCCGGGGCCGGGGCGGCACCGCACGCGGGGGCGGGCCCGGCCGGGGCGGCGGACGGGGCAGGCGGAGCTTGGGCCGCGGCGGCGCGGCGGGCTGGGGCGGAGGGTCCGCGCGGGGCGGGGGCGCGGACGCGGGAGGCCCTTTGTCCACTCCCGGCGCGGCCGCGGGCTGCGAGGCCCTGGCGCCGGTCAGCCACGTCCCGGTCTCGTTGCAGCCGAAGCAACTCCCCGAGAAGTGGCAGCACGACCTGTTCGACAGCGGCTTCGGGGCGGGGGCCGGCGTGGAGACCGGCGGAAAGCTGCTCGTCTCCAACCTGGACTTCGGCGTTTCGGATGCGGACATCCAGGTGCGGCTCGGGGAGGCGCCGCGGGAAGCGGGGCCTCGTTCGTTGGCCCCGGCCGGGTGCCCGCGGGAGCCCGCGGGAGCCCCGCCGGCCCTGCTCCCACTGCGCTCGGGGCCGAGTGAATCCCTGGTGATGGGGTTGGTACTATATGCCTGCTTTGCCGCGATCGTGGTGGTCTCCAGGGGGCTGGAAAATCCAGTTTATAGGTGCTTTGTAAGTACCTGGTGCACAGGGAGTGATGCTGTGGCTGCTGGATCATGCTGTGACTGGAGGATCACTGTGAGCTCCTGCTCTGCACAGCTGTAGCTGTCCCTAACCGTGCCCTGGGCTCTGCTGCTTTGTCAGTCCACACTCTGGTGGGTGTCAGGGGGTTCCCAAAGATGCAGCCATCAGTGTAGCCAGGTAGTTATTTGTCACGAGAACAGCTCCTCTGCCTTGGTGTCCTGCCCTCCGCGTGTCATGGCCATGCCTGGCTGGGCTGTCAGAGCCCACGGTGCCTGCAGTCGGGTGCTTGGGGCAGCTGCCTCAGGGCTGGAGGCTGAGGGGTGTCCCAGGGTCAGGAGTGGGCTGTGAGCTGTGCAGGATTGAGTGCCACGTGTGTCCCTGGCGGGGGCTCCTGCACGACAGAGTGCTACCATCACCCTGGCCTCTGGCTCTCGTGGCCTCACCAGGGAAAACCAAACCACTGCTGCTAGACTCTCCTCATCAGTTCGTTCATTCAGCCTCTCCCCCACCCATCTGGCTGTGTGGGGAATGGGAAAGGAGCTCTGGCAGGTCCCCTACTCCCTGGGTAGTGTGCTGCACTCCAGTTCTTTCCCTCGTGTAAGTTCAGACTGGGTTTAAATAAGTTCCTGTTTGTTGCAGTGAGGCAGCAGTGTGTAAAACTCAGCCCCTGTGCCCTGTGTGCAGCCAGGACTCACTTCCTGCTGCTGCACAAGCTCCCACTGGGGTTTGTTTAGCAGCAGGGCTGGCTCAATGTCTTTGGCCCCCAGCCCCATAATTTAGCATTGCCTCAGATGTGGTGTTGTTCCTGTGCTAATGCCTCTTTCTGTGGTGTGAGAGGCCGAAGGTGCTCTAGTCACAAAGGAGCTGTGCAGTGTTCCTCTTTGTGTCCTCTGAGGCAGGAGCAGCTGACCCGGGCTCTGGGCAGAGCTGACACAGCCTCGCCTGCCACATTCTGTCCAGAAAGCATCTGCCAGGTGCCCTTTGCAGTTCTCCTGCAGCAGCCCTGCTGAGAGCCCTGCTGTGACGCGGAAGCAGGTTGACACAGGCAGTGCAGTAACCTTGTTGCCTTCCCACTTGTAGTGCCTGAGAAACAAAATTGGTGCCTCTGTTGCTGCCTCTTTATTTCCAGCCTTTGTGGCAGCAAAGGGCAGACCTCAGCAGAGGACTTTGTTGGGCTCCATTTTTGGGGTATGTTCCTGATGGGCACAAGTCCAGCAGTAAAAGTGCCGTGGTCTCGTGGATCCCTGCACTCACGTGGTCATTCTCCTCTGAGAAAGGTGTCTGGGGTCTGCAGTATTTTTAATTGTTGCCACTTTGATTCATCTTCAACAAAGACCTCCAGTTCCCCTGGAAAAAAAAAAAAACAAAAAAAAAACAAAACAAAAACAGGTCAGCATCCCTTGAATCTGCTTCACTGGCTGTGAATGTGCCTCCTGCAGGACACAAGTGTGGAGTCCTGCTTGATTTTGCCACTTGTGACAGCTGCCTGGAGTCTTGCAGATGGGCTGTGCTCCGCTGTGCCACTGGGTGTTTGTCCAGGCTGTCTGAGGCGGTGGGACGAGCACTGACACCGAGTGTGTCTGTGGGGTGCTGCAGTGTTGGCAGCAGCATTGATGGATGGGCTCCTTTCTCTCCCATTCCCAGGAGCTCTTTGCGGAGTTTGGGACCTTGAAGAAGGCAGCTGTGCACTATGACAGATCCGGCCGCAGCCTGGGGACGGCAGACGTGCACTTCGAGAGGAAGGCCGACGCGCTGAAGGCCATGAAGCAGTACAACGGGGTGCCCCTGGACGGTGAGGTGGCGTTCCTTGGCTGGAGCGGGGTCCCTGCATACCCGTGTCCCTCCCCTGGTGCATTTCTCCCTCACCCCAGTCCCTCCTGCCCGTCCTGCCCCGTGTGTGTGTGTCCTGCTCACGGCTGCTCTCCTCCTGCAGGGCGCCCCATGAACATCCAGCTGGTCACGTCACAGATCGACACGCAGCGGAGACCAGCACAGAGGTGGGGGAGCCCCTGCCCGGGCAGGTGGGCGGGAAGGGCAGGACCCTCCCTGCTGGGGAGCCTGGGTCCTCTTTGGCTTCACTGAAGGCACTAAAACGCTGCTTTTAAAACTTACAGTGTAAACAGAGGTGGCATGACCAGAAACCGCGGGGTCTCAGGGGGATTTGGAGGTGGAGGCAACAGGCGAGGGACTCGTGGCGGGAACAGAGGGAGAGGCAGAGGAGCTGGAAGAACTTCCAAACAGCAGCTCTCTGCAGAAGAACTAGATGCACAGCTGGATGCTTACAATGCCAGGGTAAGTGCTGCTTGGGCATGGTAGTGGGCTCCCCACAGCATCTCATCCTGGAAAGCTGGCAGTCTGGAGCTGGCAGAAAAGAGAAAGCATTTTCCAGCTCCTTGGACTGAAGCAGTCTCACTCCGAAGCTGCGCTGTGCCTTGGCTTGGGCCTGAGCTTCGCTTTCCAGAGCCGTTTGTCACCTGTTCCTGATGGCTGAGGAACAGGCTCTGCTCTTGCCAGGCTCCGTAGCTGGAGCAGCCACTATGAGCAGCAGCTGCAGAACAAAACTCACAGAGCTGATAGGCTGCAGGAATGGGAAAACAAAGGAAAATCTCATGTGGAAGAGCTGTGTGGTGTGCTGCTGGGGAAAGGGTGTAATGCTGGTGGCAGAAATGAGCCATGGGCAGGTTGTAGCTGTACCTGGAACTTGCTCAGCCTGTGCCGTACCTGGGCCAGGATCCAACAAAGCCGAGGCCACAAGGACACCGAGTGGGTGGTTCAGGACCAGGATAGGTCAGGGCAAGAGCATGGAAGGAGTGTGATGAGCAGGACTCTAGGGAAAGCCCTGGAGCAGAGTCGGGGTGCGCTCTGCTGTCGTGCTCAGCACGGTGCGCTGTGCTTGCACCCACCTGTCCCTGTGCCCCCGTGCTTGGGGCTCAGCAGAGCCGGGCTGCCCGCAGGGCTGGGTGGGCTCGGGTGCAGGGGTGCTACTGTGCCAGGGCTGTGGTGACATTCCTCCCTCTCTTCCAGATGGACACCAGCTAAAGCGGCAGCAGTGGGCGCAGGGAAGGACTCCAATCTTGCTCCACACTCCCGGCAGGGGCTGCGGCTGTGGCTACTACTACCGAGGATGGGATTTGTTTTACTTTTACGTTCTGGGATAGGTTTTAACTCCTGTAAAGGTTTTTTTTAATTCTCAGCAGACCTGTTTTGTACCGAGTTATTTTTGGGATAAATTTTTCTGGTTGCCTGTTGGGCCAAGGTGGCTTTTTCACCTTTGCCGTAATAAAATAGAACCATGTCTAGAGCTGTGGCTGGTGCCTTGCTGCGGTCCGCGCCCCGTCCCGCTCCCGCACATACCGTGATGCTCCGCGCCACTCTGCCGTGTCCCGGGCCTGGTCCCGTCCTGCCCCGCTGATCCCTGATCCGTTCTCGCTCGCGGACCGCTCTCCTGTCCCGATCCCTGTCTGCCCCGCCCTGCCGGTGCTGCCCCGCTCCGCCTCGGTCCCGCCCATCCGGTCCGTTCCGCCCCTCCCATGCGCCCCCCCCTCCCCCCCCGGGCCAATCAGCGCGCGGTCCGCGGCCGGAAGCGCGGCGGCGGCGCGGCGGCGAGTAACGGGAAGTGCCGGGCGTGTCCCGGAAGTGCGGGGGCGCGCGGGGCCTGGGCGGATCCGCGGCGTTGGCAGCGCAGCGCGGAGCGAGCGAGACCGGTACGGCGGGAGCGGCGAGGGGGGGGGCTGAGGCACGGCGAGCCGGGCGCGCCGCGCTGGCCGCGGGAAGGGCCGGGCGCGGCCGAGGGGCGGGCGCGGGGCTCCGGTGCCCTTGCGCGACCTTCCGAAGGCCGGGGGAGCCGCCGCCCCCGGTGGGGCCGGCCCGGAGCGGAGCGCGTGGGGCGAGGGCGGGGCGGGCGGCCCGCGCTCCCCTGAGGGGCTGGGGCGGCTCCCGGCGGGCTGTGCCCGGTGCTCGGGCCGAGGGGCGGTGCGGGGATCGCCCGGCCCGACATGTCCCGCGCTCGGCCGTGCCTCCGGCGCGCACGGGCTGTCCATAAATGGCCGCTCGGCGTGGAATGAGGAACTGGGAGGCTGCACAAGAGCCGGGCTGCTCCGCGGCGAGGCAGGGCCATTCCACCCCGGCCGCCGCGGGCCGGGTGCGCCTCGAGCGCCGGCGGGGGTTTGCACGGGGGCCGCGGTTCCTGCGCTGCCCCGCCATCATCACTCCAGCGGGAGCAGTGGCGTTTTCCCGAGAGCTGGCTGAGAGCCGTGACCGTCGTTTGTTTGTGATGAGAAGAGCCCCTGGCCGCGCTGGTTCACTTGAGGGTTTCGGGTCTGCTCTCTTGCTCCGTTTGTCCAAGCGTTTTTCCAGTGTGGAGGAGCTTATTCCATGGCTGCAGAGTGGGGACAGTTTCACCGCTGTGGGTTCGGCTGCTGGCACACAGGGATGGGTCACAGTCCCGGCTCCAGGTACCCACGGTGCTGGTTTGCATCCCTGGTGTGGCACTGCCCGTGGCCTTTATGCTTCTGGAGCTGTTTGTGAGCCCTCAGCCTGGCTCTGCACGGTTCACCCTTGCAGGTGAACGACAGGTCAGGGATATGTCAGAGCGAAAAGAAAAAAAATCCTCCATCCTCAGACTGCCGAGTCCCCGCTGGGCAGCAGTGTGTCCTCCTGTTCCCAAGTCCTTCCCGCGTGGGGCTGTGAGTCACCCTGGGGGGATCGGGTGGGGTGAGAATTCTCTGGATGCTCTTACAGAGCAGCTGGTGCAGCAGTGGTACCTGGAGATGCCCTGACAGCGCCCAGCCTCAGGAGGTGCCAGCTGGGCTCCTGTCCCGCCTGTGCTGCTGGTGTCCCCACTCCCCTGTGCTGCCCTGGAGCCCTCTGAGCTGCCCGTGTGGAGCAGCCAGGCTGTTCAGGCTGTTCTGGCTCCCCGTCCTGGCAGAGCAGCTGGGACAGGACCCTGGAGAAGCGCTTACTGCTGGGTCACATTCCAGCGAGCTCTCTGGGTGGCTGCGCGGGAAGAAGGAAGGGTGGGGACTGCTGGAACGGGCCCTGTTGCGTCCACGGCTGCGCCGAGGCCTGGCGGCTGTCGGAAGCCGATTAGCTCATCTGAAGATCCTCTGACTAATGCTGGCCTCGCTGCTGCCGTGGATCGGGATTCCAGGAGTCAGTGGTTCCCGCTGTCTGCTCGGACACCAGCAGGGATATTCCCGCTGGTGCTGCTGCTGGCAGGAGGTGGGGCTCTGGCTGCTGCAGCTGCTCTGTCCTGCTCTAAACACGCTGAGAATCCGGAAGAATCTGCTGGGTTGAGGGAGCAGTGAAGGTAGAGTGCAAATTCCCAGGATTCAGCCTCCTGCTGCCTTCTACAGGCTGCTGTGATCCTGAGGACCTTCTGGGAGCTGGGGTCTGTTTCTGAAGGTCCAGGAGCCCTTCTGTACCCTGCTTCCAGCACAGGCTGGGGTCCCTTCCTGCAGCCCTGGCAGTTCCTGGGGGGCTGTGCTGTTCCACAGAGCAGGGGGTTCCCCAGGACCTCTGGGTAAGCTGATAGGAAAGGTAAGGGCTGTTTCTCCAGAGCCAAGACCTGGCCTGCAGTGCTGACTGGAATCATGCTGGTTCTGGTCCCCTGCGGTGTTATCAGTCCTGGTGGGCTCCTGTCGCCTTAGAAATCCTGAGAAGGTTGGGGTGGGTTGTGATTAATCTGTGTGCTGGGTATGCATGATTCTTTAGCTGTGGATCACAGAAGTAAGGCTGGAACACAGGAATGTGAGCAAAGAGCTGGGGATTTGGGGTTTTGGTTGATTTGGGCTTTCTTTTGTGCCCTCTGTGTCATGATGGTTGCTAAGTACCAGTTTGTGGGAGGGGCTCCTCGTGGGTCTGGTGGAGATGGGGCTAGTGATGCATGGGAGAAAACTGTCACCGTTGTGTTACACGGGGGTCAGCTGTTGAGGAGTGGCAGCTCTGTGCTGACACCAAACCGGTGCATTTCCAAACTGGCCAGGAGAGGATTCTGGCTCTTGGAGGTGACCAGCTGCTGGCAGTCAGGGCTGTGAACGCCAAGGCTGTTCCCAGTCAGTGCAGCTGTCTCCCAGCGATGGGAGCTGCGCTGGGACTGGTGCTGTTGTTCACAGAGCACTGGCTCCAAGAGCTTCAGGTGCTGGAGCAGAGGCTCCATGGCTCCTGCTGTCCTTGATCTGGCTGTGTGTGAGAGATTTTGTCTCTGCTTGGTCTGAAAATTGGAAGGTGGAGGGTGCCCGTGGATGCTCCTGCACAGAAGTGTAGCTACCACTGTTGGAGATACGTGTGTGGATGCTAGTGGATCCTCTGCCATTAGTGTGCTCTCACAGAAGGCTCAGTCACAGAATTTGGGAGTCACCACAAGTTTGGAACTTCGATTCTGTAGAGCTGAAATTCTATCTCTTTCCTGGAAGCTGCAGGTATCCTCAGAGCAAGGTGTGAGTGTTAGAATGAACTGTGGACCATGGGAGGTATAGTCTAGCCCAGAGGTGAGCCAAAGGACATTGGAGGAGGGGATTGGGCAGGATGCAGGGAGGAGATGGAGCAGTGCAGGGTGTGTAAGTGAGCGTTTGCTCAGCACTTCTAGGAGTCCTCAAGCCTGGCAGCTGTTTGGGAGAAGCAAGGGCCTGGGTTTGATATGGAGACACTGGCATGAAATCTCATCAGTTGTTCATCTGTGACATGAGACTAAATGCCCTTTTGAAGACAAATTTCCACACCATTCAGTGTGAGGATGTTGGAGGATGCCATGTGGAAGGGCCAGCTGTTTGCTGTGCAGCTGCAGCAGGAAAAGCTCCTGGCACAGATGCTTGTGCCACGCAAGGCCAGAGCCCTGGTACAGCCCCATGGTGCCACATCATCCCCCAGTGCCTTTCTAAAGCTGTGCCAGAGTGTTCTGAGTCTTTAGAGAGTCCAGGTTGGTATTTGCCGTAGGATAACCCTTCAGACAACGTGCCCTGTGGAACACCAAGAATTCCTGAATGTGTCATTGGCTTTTACGAGGATTTTAATGGAGTGTTGGCATCACCTTTGCCTAGCCCTTGGTGTGGCTGGGCATTTCCTGGGCAGAGTCCTGGGCAGCTGAGCCAGGTTCCACATCTTGTTTATTTAATTGTCTGTTTCCCTGGTTGTGTGTGCCACAGATCCTTGCAAAGGGCTGAGCTAGGTGTCTCATCCCACTCTGCCAAGGCACCTTGCACAGAGCACTGACATGACAGTTACAAAACATGAGCACCAGGTCCCAGCAGAGGCTCCTGGCATTCATGCCAGTGGGGAGACAGAGGCCTGCTCTTAGCTGGAATCCTGTTGTGGAGAGCAGAACTGGGTTTATTCTGGGCTCTGGTTTATTCCAACTGAAAGCCTCACCTGGTCGATCTTGTGGAGGAGAATGTCCTCCCTATGGCTTTGGGGTATTTACACTACAAGCAAAGCACTGAGGCTGAATTTTTTCTCACTCTTGCCTGGGCCTCTGCAGGCTGAAGATGAGACATGGCCTCTGGAGGGTTCTGCAGGGCCTGGGGGCCTTGGCAGGGCTGTGTCTCCCAGGGGCCAGCGTGAAGGGCCCCAGAGAGAGTGGGAGCCTGCAGAGTGACAGCAGAGCAGTTCTGGGGAGCCCTGCTGCTGGAGTGTTGGTCGGGGCAGTCACAGCTCTCCTCTCTCCTTCAGTGTGGTCACGTGCGTGAGGATGGCAGAGCAGGAGCCAACGGCAGAGCAGCTGGCCCAGATTGCAGCTGAGAATGAGGAGGATGAACACTCTGTCAACTATAAGCCACCTGCCCAGAAGAGCATCCAGGAGATCCAGGAGCTGGACAAGGACGATGAGAGCCTGCGCAAGTACAAGGAGGCCCTGCTGGGCGCCGTCACCGTGAATGCAGGTGAGCTCTGGGGTGTGTTGGTCCCTTCTGGCCTTGCCTCTGCTCCCAGCTGGGAGCTGTTCTCCCAGCTCTGTGTTTGGGTAGGAGCACAGAGCTGTGCCTGTGCTCCCCGTGCCCATTGCTGGCTCAGGGACTCAGGGGCAGGGGTGGCACTCTGCCTTTGTGGAGTACTGTGAGCAGGGCCTGGTGCAATGGAAGCCCTGACCCTTACAGAGTTGGAGCCTGGTTTTGCTGGTTTTTGTGCTCTTCCAGGAAGTTCTCTGGAAGGAAAAGGAGCTGTGCTGGCCAATGTCGAGGATGAGTGTTTAACAGCTTTATCTCTTGTCTCTAGATCCCAACGCTCCAAATGTGGTAGTGACCAAACTGACCTTGGTCTGTGCTACTGCTCCAGGGCCCCTGGAACTGGACCTGACAGGTGAGCTGGGAGGGAATGCCAGCCCTGCTCCTGGGCACAGCTGGCAGGAGTACTGCTGGCAAGGTGGCTGAGCCTTCCTGTGTGTGTTGGCAGCAGAGCACAGTGCTTTGGCCCCAGCGGGTTCTGTACCTGGAGCCCAGCAGCAGTTCTGTGACACCTGGGTGTTCTGTAGAGGTGTGAGGGGCCAGATGGGGCAGGCAGATTCTTCCA